ATGTCTGACAAATAAACTGTATTATTATTCATTCAAAATATTTCCCCATTTCTGATTGGTTGAAACCATACGCATAATTCACCATAACCAGCTGCTGTTGACCAAATTTTGAAAGAGTTGTGTCATATTGAACCGATGACGTCAAAATAACGTTAAAAGTGCAGCCTGATTGCAGGTTATTGAGCCGTTGACCGTAAAAACCTGGGGACGAGGTTGAGTTGTTTTGGTAGTAAGAACAAAACATGAAGACGGACGACGTCTGCTATTTGGAGTACATTTGCAGACCTGAACAGACCTTCATCTCCTAAACTTCCCGATAAAGATGCATTATCGATGTGAACTTACATCGACCAAGGTTAACATGTTTTAGCTTGTTTTTAAACTTGGAATTATTTTGAAGGAATGATGAAACAATTATTGAATTCAGCTTTCGTAGGATATAAAGAATTCTGCAGATCTCGTAGGGTGTTATCCACCTCGGCCGATAACACCCTCCTCGATTTACAGAATTCTTTATATCCTACTCAGCCTCATTCATTAATTAATCGCTAAATATTTGATTTTTCCTTTTTTTTTTTGTATATTTCTCCCCGTCTTCGTGCCGTAAGGATCATTCTACTGTTTTTCTATTTTAGTTTTGTATTTAACATATAAACTTGGCATGCCTTATATGGGCAGTTATGAAACCCGAAGAAACATCTAAGCTCATCTACAAAGACACTCATTTGCAACATTAATTTCTTTTGTTTTTGTTTTTTCTTTATGAATTATCAATTATTTCTTGAAGTTCTATTAGGGGATAAGCTTGTTAAGAACTTTAAAATATTTTGAATAAATAATGAAACATTTATTAAATTCGGCTTTCGTATGATGTGAAGAATTATGCACTCCCACATCTCGCAGGATGTTATCCACCCAGGTTTAAGGCCGAGGTAGATATTAACATCCTCCGAGATCTGCATAATTCTTCACATCCTACTCATGCAACCTTATTCAATAATTACTCATAATTCTAGCAAATTCAAGCTTAGTACATCATAATAATTTGTACCTGCATCAATTTCCAACAGATCTATCATTCCTAACTCCAACAGAGCACTTTGTAAGACCTCTACTGTTGCATCATCACCGCGTCTTATCTTCCACCCAACAAGCATCGCCATTCCTTTATCACGTAAACGTTCATTCTTCATGTCTATTTTTTGTAGTCTTTTCTTGGAACAGCCGAGGATTTTGCCAAGCGCTATCCAGTTTGTATCAAGACCTTCTGCAAGGTCATCAAGTAATAAGTAGGAAACTGGTTTGCCTGCAATGACGAAAGAGGATGATGCGGTATCTTTCAAGCAAGCAAGTGCTACATGATACTAGAACTACTACCCCTGGCCATATTGAAACCACCCAACAACTATTAAATAGCAAAGAAGGCTACAGGTCATGACTGGCGATTGTGTTCATAGTATAAAATTCGCGAGCTTCGCCAGTTATATTTGGCAATTAGAACGTGAGCAAATTCTTACTTCTTACAGTCCTGTGGTTCCACATTGATAATCCACGCAATTTGGCGTAATCGTGCCATAGTGCGTTTATAATTTTAGCATAAAAAGAGGGTACTAGGAGGGAACGTATTTTGCCAAAAAAATAACCTTGCATATTTCTAATTAAAGTAGTTGTGTAATTGTCTTAGGATCACTATCATAAGAACGCGTGCTCTCCCTAAGTCTCGCCTGCAATAAGTAAACAAAAGATAGTCAATTTCTGTCTTCTTGTAAGACCTCGTGAAATTTACTCTTTTTAAAACTCAGTTCATGATAAAACTAAATTTTGCTTTAATTATTTCACTCCTCCGACGAGGCAGCCATCGCGTAGAATTCCCAGTCCACTGAGGTCAACAAAAAATTTCCCGTCCGAGTGGGGGTTAGCATTTTGCCGTTTTTAGCCGTGACACTTCTAAATGAAGTATGCTTGAGGTAAAAACAACAAAACGGTCAAAGAGTGCTGGAAACAAGTTTGAAAAAAAAAAAGATGGCGGCCGAAACGCGGAGAATTTTTTTTTTTGCTTTCAAAGACGTATTCTGGAAATATTCTTCGCGCTGGCTACCCCTCACGGGTTCAGGTCAAATTCAAAGGAAAACAAAAAAAAAACAGTTTTTATCACATTCCTTGGTTTAAAAGACTGTGGTGGTTTTAAAGGCAGACGAGACATGTCACGATATCAGGTGGTACCGTTCGCGATTTCTGCAAACTTTAATAAGTTGTAATCTTTCCGCTAAAGTCTACTCACTTGAAATCCATACAAAAATGGCAATTTTTTGGTTGGTTTTTAGAGCGAAAAACCCAGTGAAATCCGATAAGCTGGCATTAATCAAAGGTAAGATCTTGAATTTGATGTTTCTTAATATTAATATTCCGGTGTTACCCATTAAGATTTGGTTACGAGTAACTCAGAAACAGTAACAAACAACTCTCAAAGTCGCTTCAGTCTTATAATCCCGCCATATTTTAAAAACCGAATCGTGGTTCGAATGCGGCTCTAGCCTGTTAAATTCCCGGATGTGACCGGGCATTCTACGATACGATCTAGTTTTCACTCAGAAATAACACCTACTGACTTTACTTGATTTCATGTCAGCTGCTGATCAGTAAGCGATTGTGATTGTTACCTCTCAAAATTCGATAATGAAAATGAGCATAATATAAAGAATTGTCAAAAGTAGGTTGAGTTTTATCGTCCCGGTGACCGTAGTCCTGAATAGGACTGTTAAGTTGTTGTTGACAGTGACTGACGTTTCGACAACTTGTGCGGTAGTCATCTTCAGAGTCAAAGTGAGTTGTATCATCTCAGTTGATGGTATTAACTGTGTGCTAACTTTCGTGGTATGGTGTGCATAGTCCCATGTCTAACTGCTTGCTCACTTTTCGTGATCATAAGAATGTGTACCTGCAACTACATCCGGCAACAGATCATCCATTTCTACCTTCTTCAGTGCTTCCTGTAAGGCCCCCAACGTAGCAGCATCACCACTTGATTTCTTCCACTCATCAAGCATGTCCTTTCCTTTATCATTTTCATGTTTATTCCTTTTGTTAATGTATTCGAGTTGTTGCTCAGAAACTCCAAGGGAATTACCGAGCTTTCTCCAGTTTGACCCAAGAGCTTTTGAAAGCTTAGTGAGTCGGTAAAGGGAAACTTGTGTAGCCCTCAGACAGCTGGGTTCCTCCGCCTTGGCTGCAACATCAACATATGCGCACGATTAATGAGCATGAGCCTTTTTGAATGGCCCTGTGTAACCGTAGCAGAAATGAACCTTTTCACCCTAATTTTAGACCGTTTGATTGCTTCATATTGTCCAGAAATTGGACATTGCTGTATATGAAAATGATAAAAGTAGCAAATTGGTTTCTGGAAAAAACAAGGAAGTTGCACAAAACTGAGTCCATTCTCTCCGTCGTAGATTCTCTTTCCTTTTAATTTAACCTACAGACACATATATTAAATATTTTTTACAGATGAAATAATATCAGTCCACCAAGGGTTGCATCGAATGGAAAATTCGAAATTGTCTTCTCCAGGATATGCATTAGACTTTCAGCTTGAACGATACCACTAAATGGAAGTGAATTTTTCTGTGCAAAGAAGAAAAGAGAAAAATCTTCCCGTCCCCACTCACCTTTTTCTATGCCTTGAGGAATTATCTAAAAGCTGTTAGAAAGTGTCAGAAGTGTGATTGTGTTATTTGCGAAACGTCATTTCGGAAATTGGATCAATATCAATCTCGTAATTGTCATTAAAAGGCCGTTTTTGCATCAGCGAGTGTGCCTTCATAATTCCAGCCCAATTTACGTAAAACCTTGGCAGATCACGTTGATATTGAACTATATATTCTAGGCGTTCCTCAATTAAACAGGGGCTGCCATAGGTTGATTCTTGGCCACGTTGCCTTGACTAAATTTTCTAATTTAGTCAATGTATCCCAATCGTGATACAATTCAGAAGTTGTACCCCGCTCTGGATACAACAGCAAATGATCAAGAAGAGATACAGCAGCGAGTGGATTACAATTATGCAGATAATATAAGGAAAGTACGTACTTTGTAAATCATGCCATTTAGATGTTTTGTAAGAATTAAACAAGTCATGTCTTCTCCTGCAGGAAACTAGATAATTTATTTATCCTGGAGTCCTCGTTTCGAGAAACATCCGAACTCTCGGGAAAACAAAACTAACTGTTTCCCGCGGGACTTGTAATAAAGTGTATAGTGCCACTTACAGCAACATATTATTCAGGTGAAAAATAAGCGCCTAATTGCGACAGATTTCTTAATACTCTTCCTCTTCTGTTTAGTTACGATAAGCAACAGCGCCCGTGGAGTGTGGTTCTTGAAGGTTTACATTTGCCCGAAAAAAAAAGCATGGTAATGCGTCTCTATACTTTGACTATTCCAGCTTTGAAGTTCAGTACTATATGAATGAGTAACAGTGCATCACGTTTCTACAGTTATTTCACTACTGTCTACCTTACTTGTTTCTAGAGCTGATACTCCCAGTATACAAATTATCTAACCATCCAGTAAAAACCACCGAGGTGGGACACCGCTCAGTGTAACTATTTTTTTAAAGTCTTGGTCAGATTATGTTCATCACCTCTTAAAATATACCCCAGTGCATGAATTAATTGGAGTGTACACCTTAATGAAAGGGTATGTAAATAAACATTCCTTGTTCATACCATATCGAATAACTTGATTTTTTTGTGTTTCCATTCATGCATGCATACACACCTTCGATCTGCTAATATTCCACATGTGAATACTAGAAAAAACAAATGAGTGAAAACTACTAATGCCACAAGTTTCGAATTAACAAGTGTTAATTAAATCCAAGGCCACAAATTTTTAACTCCTAGTTATTAACCGGTGGCTTAAGAGCCACTTGAAGATATCTTATCATTACCTGATTTGGTCTTTAAAAAACCTTTGTATGACAAGTAGTCTTCCTCTGAAATGATAGTTCTCAGTTGTACTTCACTGAGTTCCAGCTTCTCAAGAACCTCTTCCGTTACAAGCGTATCTTGAACCACTTCTTTAAGACGGCCTGTCCGATATTCGCTCCACAATGCTTCAAGGACTTCTAAAGAACTGCAGGAAACTGTTATGACCAAGCTGCCTAGCCTGTAGTCTTCAACGTCAACTCCAAGTTTTATTTTCAAGTAGGTGATGAAAAGATTTAACGAGCTCTTAAATGAATAAACAACATACCAGAAATCAGGAACTACTGGTCGATTCTGCTGACTTGCGGCTTCAAGTTCCGTGCTTGTGGATAGACTCGTAGCACTTTCTGCTGATGGCTGGTCTGGAGGTATAGGTATACGCGTCTCCAGACGTTCAGATAGTAATTGAGCACCGTCCACTTGTGGGGATGAACTAACAACTGGCCCACTTGCCTTAAGACTTTCAAGAAAGATTAGAATTTCCATGTGCTTTTGGTTTTGTTCAATTTTCATCTTTTCCATCTTTTCATCTAGCTTTTCGAGCTTGTCTTTAGTATCCATATCTATTAAGTACCACAATCGAAGTTTATCAACACATTCCTTTGCGTCTGGTGTTAGTGGTTCATGGAAAAACATTTCGATAGACTTCTTCCACTCATCCCTCTTTGCACTACTTATTCCGATGGCAATTCTCAATAGAACTTCACTGATTTCTCTCCAAAGCTTCTCAAAATCAGCGTTTGTTATCTCCATGCTGTGTTTGTGACCATAAATTGAGTTACGATAAATCCTAATTCTAATCAAGTCCGCCCCAAGACTGTGATCAGTGTTGTTGGGTAAGTTGTCCCATCCAGTAATGGGAGGAGTGAGGTTGCATATTGCTCGAAGCAATTTACAAAGTAAGCTGATATCAAAATCAGTCGACTTTCCATACGTCCCTGGCCCACTTGGGTTGTAAAGGCAGTTCCATTCGGGGTGGGTAAGGACTCTGTTTCTTCTAAGAGTTTGGAGCTGCGTCTTTATTACAGGGTTACTAAGCGCAGCTGGAAGGTTGGGTGGGGGATGGATACTGTCAAACACCTCCTTTAAAAGTGCGAGACCTCCACGCATCAGAAGCCGTGTCAATCGCTGAAAATTTGCTTTTTCATCTGTTGCACGTAACGCTTCAAATGCCGCTGATAGTGATGTACCTGTAGCCATTTCTATGCCAATATCATTGGTGAGACTAAAGAAAAAGTGACAGAAATCACAATGTTACTTAAACTGAGAAAGGAGGGGTGGGTGGAAAGTTTACCAGCATACTAGTCTAAGCCCAAGTCAATTAATTGGAAACCCCGGGTAGAAACGGGATCGAGAATTAAAGTTAGCTTAGTAAAACTAATTAACTTCTAAAAGGAAACTGTCAATACATAAAATAATACGTCTTGCACCTGAGTACAAAATTTTACTGAAAATGCATGTTATGGTTTTTTTGGGTCGGCTATCTCTCACCTAGTGAGAACACTTCCATAGAGTATCGCTTTAATGAATTCTGAGAGCTGACATCTACAGCAATGTCAATAGATGAACAAACGGAACGTTTATTGGATGCTTGGATAGTGTTAACGACGAAAATTGCAACAAAACGGGGGTAGTTTGCAGAGGATAGACTGTGAATTCGAACCTAGCAGCCAAGTTTCAATTTGATGGTGAAGTTCTGCTGTTTGCCATAAAAGCACTTAGAGGATCCACCGGCCCTCATTGCCAGCATTTTTTGGCCTAATATAAATTTTATATTATTCATTACATCATTCATAGCATAAATTCAGCAAAAGGGTATTCTAACTCTTTTCTTAGGGGGGAGGGAATCAGTGCTTTTTTTTTTGCATTTTAAAACAGAAACAATGGGGATAGTAAAAAGAGTGATTAATAAGGTTGGCAAAAGGCCGGAAGGAATAACCTGAGCAGTTTCTTCGCTTTTTTTTCTGTTCAAAAATGGCTGCATTTCAGGCTCAAGCTGCTGTAAAATGGTTTCAAGAGTGTAGACAGTGTTGAAATCCTCTATCAATAACCTCCTGCACATGCTCTTGTCTTTTAGAATGATGGGGCAGAAATGTGACACAAATGGATACTGATTATAACTGACTAAAAAAATTTAATTTATATTGTCAGTCGATAAAAGTGGGCTTTAATCAAAGGACATGCTGTGGAGAAATCATTCTTATCCCGGCCCCTCATCCTGGTTTATTTAATAAGCGGTAGTAGGAGGCGCATTGACTCAGAAGGTGTATTTTGTCAATGTGACTAGAAAAAAAGCCAATGCCATCAATCTCAGAGGGTAACTAGCCAATCTAGTGAGGGATTTTTAAATACCTAAATAAAAAAGAATGATCACCAAAAGCTAATGAGGAATTGTTTGAAAAGTTATCAAAACGTACCAAAAAATATTCACCCCCGAGCAAATTGAGTGAAAAAAATTTGGCATGCTGAGTAGTCCAGAAAAAAATACTCTTGCCAATTGCCAGGATTATTTTTAACGTCAAGAAAAAATATTGATGCTCGACATTTTGACAAAAGAAGATCGTGACAGGAAATTTACAACTCTAACCTAAACCCTAACTCAATAGCTCCACACCACCCCCCCCCCCCCAAAAACCTTTTAAATACCCCCCCCCTAAGTAACAAGGCGGCTTTCCCGTCAACCCAAAATCACGGAAATTCAGACACGTGGATTGAACAAAATAGACACAGTCTGTTTGTCCCAACCCAAAATTGCGATCCAGA